GACACAGCATTAAACAAGGCCTATCTTTATTAAAATCACTCAAGATATTACTTCTCGGAGAGCGCTAAATTTTTCAAACCGAGTTTCTCAATGGCACGAACTCGATGCCTTTTGGGATCGATTGTCTTCAGCTATTTTAATAACCACCAAGAATCAAAAAAAGATGATTTGTGTAGAGACCCAAGCCCAAGGCTGTGTTTTGTTACATGCTGGATAGCACAAACCAATAAAAACTCATCAGTCTAGGAAATACATATCACGTGAATGTGAATTATCAACTATTAACCTGTCATTAATTTTTGTATTATCTTAATTCTGGGTAGCGTTACCTTATTATCTAAGATGTACCGACTTTGTTTAAAAAATATTTATATATCGATATGCTCTATTCTAAAAAAAAAAATACAAAAAATTCTATAGGAATAAAAAGATGTTTTAATGTACATATAAATATCAACATAATCCACCGTCTTCATCCTCATCATATTCACTAACAGGCAACGATTCCCGAATAACATGAATATTTTGAGACGATGATGGAGGTATATTACTAATACTATCATTAATGTTATTAGAAACCACAGTATCAGAGCCAATACTTTCTATTCGTGAACTACCATCACCAATTTCTCGCTCAACCTCGGTCGATTCAGTGTAGTCGGTAAAAGATCGTTGAGAAGCAACAGTTTCTGCTGCTGCTGCTGCATCAATAAGTTTCTCATCGTAATACGACGACACATAATCATCTTCATCGAACTCTTTTTCCTCGCCGCCGCCCAACTCCCCGCCATGATTCCAAAGAAACGCTTGCTGCTGTGGCGGTTGTATCGACGATAATTTTTTAGCAGCATTAGTTGTCGATGTTGATGCCGGATTTTTGTTGGTGTTTGGTAAGTCCCCAGGAACTTGGAGTGTTCGTGCGAGTTTGGCGATTTCGTTGTCGAGATAGGTGACGATTTGTCGGTGTACTGTTTCTTCGAGAAGTTCTTGGTCGCCTTGTTCGAATGCGTCGAGGAGGATGCTTGCAATAGCTGATTCTTCTGATTGTACAAATGCGTATCTGTACCAATCATAACAGGAATTTACAAGTTGATTAGCAAAGAATTTTTTTTCATTTGATATGATTTTACACATCATTGAAGATATGTTAAATTAATATATACTGGCAAAAATGCTGAAATTGTCTTTTCGCCCCGATCTCGTCATTCGCTGCAAGCAACACGATAATAATACTCAAACACGTTTTATTCAATCCCGTGTTATTGTTTATACTATGGTATATATCCCGTAGGCGGAGTAATATTTCTATTGCTGCATCGTATCTAAAAAATTTCAAAATTGGTTAAAAAAATAGAAACAACGTGATTTAATGGTTTTCAATACAAATCATTGTAACCAAAACTCGAATTATCTCACCTTTTATGACGGGTCATCATAGCTATCGTTCGAGTAAAGGTATCGATCGCAAATCTCGATCTATCTTCCGACTCGTAGAGCGAGCAAGCGGCCACATAAAAATCAATTGCTTGATCTACATCTATTGGCTCAAGCGCCCTTTCATTTTTAACATTCAACAATGTCATTAGTAATTTTTATTCGATCACACCAAGCTATGATAATGGGCAATTTAAAATCTCACCTTGCAGCTTTTTCTAACATCTCAGCAGCTCGATCCGGTGTCATATGTGTCTGATAAAGATCGCTAGCTTGTCGATACAGTTCTGCAGCACGTTCCGGTTGTTTAAGTTGTTGTGCCGCGAGGTTGGCTGCTCCTTCCATGCTTTTCGCTGCCATGTATATTCTTGGAGATCGAATAGTTTGTGTTTTGTATGTTTAGTCCAGATATATACTCTTCATATGGCATAATGAAATTCTTATTACTTACGAGTCAGATTTGAATAATGCATCCGAGGCTTTCAAATATGCTTGAATTGCTTGTTCGTAAGAACGTGCGGCTTTGAAACAAGACGCTAAAGAATGTATGTATATGGTTCATCATCATAGTAAGAATTTTCTTTCAAGTAACATGTTCGGTATGGAATTTTCATGAAAGTATTAAATATAATATATAATAATTGAACAGTAAACCTTACCAGCCTTTTCATAGTAAGACCCGGCAACATCCCATTCCGGTTTTTTAAACCAGCCCTTTTGAGTTCTGATTAATGCGAGACAACGGGAGGTCCCAGTATTTATGTATAATATTTAAGAGGTGTGAGTGCTCACCATCGACAACACGTTACTAAAAACTTACGCTTTGTCACCATCGGCAAGAAACTGAACTGCCTCGCGTATCTTGTTACTTTCCATCGTACGTGTTAATCAACTTCCAATTCAGAGGCTCATTCATGACAAAACGCGTGCATTTACGTCAGACAATGATCATGCTTTTTTTAGCTCTAATGATGTCGATCAAACATATATTAACATAAAAAACCCCCAAAATTATCAAAGAAAAATGTCTGATATCCATAAGTGTACTTGGTCTGTTCCACATAAACATCAGAAGTCGTAAGTCAAAGTAGCCATAAAGATCTGATTTCTTTGTTGGTGGATGCAAACTTCGTATTGTATGATTGATAAAAATTGTATCGAAAAGTCTTCCAGAACCTCCAATTCTTGATACGATTCTTGATCACATTGGTAACACACCATTAGTGAGAATCAACAATATTACCAAGTCGGAAGGGATAGAATGCGAAATTCGTGAGTTCGACGCGTATTGATTTCCAGTTTCTTTATATGCTTATTATAAAAGTCAAATTGTGATTAGTGGCGAAATGTGAGTTCTTTAATGCGGGAGGATCCGTAAAAGATCGGATTGGTAAGCGTATGATCGAGGAAGCCGAAAGAGAGGGACGTATTAAACCAGGGTATACCATTATTGAGCCAACTTCGGGAAATACCGGTATAGTATCATTTTAAAAAACTTGACCTGTTTAATGATCGTCTACGGATTAATGTTCTATTTATTTTGGATATAGGTATTGGTCTTGCATTGGCTGCTGCTATCAAAGGGTATCGGACCATTATTACCTTACCCGAAAAGATGAGTCAAGAAAAGGTGCGATTAACTTTAGATATACACAGCTATGTATTATAAGATATCTCTTCAGAAATTTTACATGGCAAAAATATATTATTAGGTGGATGTTCTCAAAGCATTAGGCGCAGAAATTGTCCGTACACCAACAGAAGCTGCATGGGATGCTCCCGAATCTCATATCGGGGTTGCCAAACGATTAAACGAGGAAATTCCAAACTCCGTGATTCTTAACCAATACAACAACCCTTATAACCCAATTGCACATTACGATCACACCGCAGAGGAAATTTTGAATGCGTGCGACGGGAAAATCGATGTTCTTGTTGCCGGGGCTGGTACTGGTGGCACGATCTCGGGTATAGCTAGAAAATTGAAGGAACGAGTCCCTAATGTGAAAATTGTCGGCGTGGATCCGGTTGGGTCGTTATTAGCTGATCCTGAAAATCCGAACCAAGAAATTGTTTCATATAAAGTAAGTTATTAATGTTATCAATCAATTACTAGTATTTCGATGAATCATTTGATTGATAGAGATTATTTTGATGTAGGTTGAAGGCATAGGATATGATTTTGTTCCCGATACGCTTGATAGATCGAGTGTTGATCAATGGATTAAAACTGTCGACAAAGATTCCTTTATTATGGCAAGACGTCTTATTCGTGAAGAAGGTTTGCTATGTGGAGGCTCATCAGGCTCAGCAATGTGGGCTGCTCTTCAAGTTGCCAAAACATTAAAAAAGGGCCAACGAATAGTTGTCATAATGCCTGACAATGTGCGTAACTATATGACAAAGTTTTTGAACGACAATTGGATGAAAGAAAACGGTTTTTTGGACGAAGCCACCAAAAAAGAACAAAAAACAAAAGTAGAACAATGGGGTGGTGCAACAATAAAAGACTTAAATCTGAAACTGGCGATAACAATCAATTCACAATCTGCGTGCCGTGAAGCAATCAGCATTCTTGAAAAGAATGGGTTTGACCAATTGCCGGTGATTGACGAGGGACCTAAAAATAAACTCGTGGGCTTGGTCACGCTCGGAAACCTATTATCGCGAATATCGACCGGTCGTGCGACTTCTCAATCACCGGTCTCTGCTGTAATGTTCAAATTTAACAAAAGTAAACATCATTTTGAAGAAATTACAGTCGATACACCGCTTTCAAAGTTGACTACTTTCTTTGAGCATAATAGTTCTGCAATAGTGACTGAACGTGATAATGATGGTGTGCTTGTTCCGAAACACGTTGTCACTAAAGTGGATTTGCTGTCATATTTGATTCGGAAATAGAATTTATCTCAAATAGAGTTTATTTTGTATTTATGGGATTCAAGATTTTTTCTTAAACTTTAGATTCAACCAAATAGGTGAATAAATAATTAAATTAATTAAAAATTCGTAATCCATCTGCTCTTTCCTCTATCGAAGAGGAAGCAGCTTTTGTTTCGACTGTGTTTAATTTAATTGTCTCTCTTTCAGGATTAGATAAAGCATAACTATTATCATTGTTATTATACTTTTTGCCTAGTAACGACGCATATAACTCATCAATCATGTCCTCGTGCCAAGTCCCAGTTGGAATTGGGACCATGAAATTTTGGAGTTTTTCATGAACATGATATCTAAATTTTTCGAATTCAGTTAATTTATCGAATATGCTTTTTAATCGGTAAAATGCATGAATGAAAGAAATAATACCGTAATCGACGTCCTTTACTAGCTTTAGTATCCACTTGTTTTTTCTTTTGTCTCGTTTGTTTTAATGCTGCCCATCGCATTCCTATTGCGATGGGATCATCTATCATAAAAAGGGAACACAAAAATTTAAATTTTTCCTTTATCAATTACGAAAATATTAATAATTAATTGCGTTGTTTACCAGTATCAATCATCCTATTTTCAATAAGCTCCCGTAACAATTGCTGATAAAAATCAGTGTCATCGAAAATTTCAGGATCGTAATTCGTCAAATGATCGTCTTGCCCGCCTCTACTCATGATTGCATCAGAGGATGATGATGGCGCTGATTTTGATGGATCTGTCTGCTGTTGCTACGATAATTTTATATGATCAATAGGTATTCGATTAACTGACTGATCAATTACAAATTCATTCATTATTTGATCCATTATCAACAAAAAACACGAACCTTTCCGAGAATTTTATAATCACCTCTCATCAACTGCGTTCGCTTCACAAGTCTCTCATGGTCATGAAGCACCTGCTCGATTTGATTATTAACGCTCTGATTGATCGCCTTAAATTTCTTATTTAATGGGATCCCGGCGGCGATTTGTACTTTATTGTTCCATTTTTCGATGGTTTCCGTGCGAAAAGGTTTGAAGTTTTCGTGTATTGTTTTTATGTCAGTCCATAAGCAATCTGTGTAATTATCAGTATCCTCGTCACCGTTTTCTAGACGACGTTTTCGACTGTTTGTTGTATCCTTTGAGAATTTAATGCTTTCGTTATCGCAACAGAGATCCTGTGGATTGATGAAAATATACCTTACTTAATGAACATAAATAAATAAACCTCAACCAATTAATTAATTACCTTGTTCAATTTTATGAGCGAATCGATCAATTCGCTTAACTCACTTTTGGTTTCTTTGATAGCCGATTGTACTTTAGGCGACGCAATGAATGAGGGATACGTATTATGCTAATAAAACAAAATAATGATATTTAATATGAATGTTGAGTTATATAATTATTCAAACTCATTACTCACCTGTGGTAAAGAATTCGATATGGTCACAGATTTCTGCAATCTTATTCGTATATCTAATAAACTATCCCAAAGTCCCTAGAAAATACGAGAATGTCAATTTCAATTACAACAGACGATATAATCAGTAATACGTACAATTTGGGTTTTAACATGCTGCCCTTTCGTAACGTCCGCTTTGGCACTTTGTGATATTTTTTCTAATAGGTTCCTGTATGATTTTTATATAACTATAATATTATTGTTATGCTTACACGACTCAAAACACGTATTTAAATAAAAAATTACCTTTCTTCGTTTTCAATTTTCTTCAATTCTTTTTGTATAGATTCGTCAGCGTCATATGAAAAGGTTTGCGTCTTTACTTTCGTAAATATATTTATTTTTACATCAATTATCAACAGTACAGCCACTATAAGTAACCTACCTCATCCTCGTTTTGTGAATCTCCATCCTCATCGATCCCGGAATCAGACGATGCTATTTCATCACCATCTTCTTCAACCTCGCTTTCAGATGAAACTCTACCCGTATCATATTTTTCCGTATCAAACTTTACATTTTTCATTTGTTTATTGTTAGATCGATCCCGACTCTCATAACTTTGCTCAGACACATTATCAGAAAGATCTTCTTCCGAATCTTCATGATCTTTCTCTTCTACTTCTTTCTCATTATCCAAGGAATTAGATTGAATATCTGAAGTAAGATTTTTTTTTTTATTATTATCAATATCTTCTTCATCTTGTTCGTCTACATCCATGTATTCATCTATCCCTGGAATATCGCTAAAAAGATCCTTTCTACTAATCTTCTTGCCCACGTACTTTGGATCGTCTAATAAAAATTGCAAGTTCTGACGAAGCGAGCTTTTGCTATTTAATTATTCAAAGGTCGGAAATCAATACTCAAATATCTTATCACTTATACTCTAACCCAAGAAACTCACACAATAGATCAAATCCATTATTAATTAATTACCCAACATCTACATAATGCTCTCTCCCTTCATCCAAATTAACATTAACACGATTTACTGCTTTACTTTTATTTCCACCATATTCATCACGAGCATTATCATAGTCATCAGTTTGATCCAGAAACCCATTATCATGAAATGTTTCGCCGATTTCATCTGGATCATAATCTTTTTATTGAATTTAACATCATTGGTTAAAAGTGGTTTTTCCTCTAACAAACATTTTAGATTTAATTAACTGACCTATTGGCGCGGGGTTGTTAAATTCGGCGAGCTGAGCAGCAAGGGATTTCATTGTTCTGGATTCTGTAGCGGCTAGAGTAAAAAAAGTCATCCATGGATAGTCAAATTTTCTAATATGATACATAATACTTAAAAGAAATTCTGAGTTACCCATTTTAAATAAGATAAATACGATCCTATATCTACGTCGTTACGAAAACTTAATCAACTTATTTTACTTTTTACCAAGTCCACAAAAAAAATTATAGATTCGGGGGTCAGAAATCAAATCGATCGTAGGGACTCGGAAAATCCGACCGGTACTATCGATGAATAGCTTATATCTGGATGAATAAATATCACGTGGAAAGTTAAACTACCAATCATTT